TTCTTCATAGTGCTGGTGCTCACACAGGCCATGTGGGACAGTGAACACAGTCCTGGCTTCATGGCCTCTCTGCCAGTAACTACCCCTGTGAGGTCTTGGTCAAGCCTGACTGCTCTGTGACTTCATTGCCTACCTGCCAAGGTAGAGAACAAGCTGGATTGCCCCTTCCTGCTCTAAAATACTGTGCTTTCCTCGCGATGAGAAGAGCGTCTATTCCTATCACCTTTTTTGCTTTTTCATTGGGACAGTAGCCACATGCCCTTTAGGACTCAGTAGGCACGTGACCTTCCAGTGGCCAGGCCACACTGTGCAGTGGGTGGGAGGGAAGCAGTAATTGCCCTTGCCTGGCTAGTGGCCCGTCCAGGGAAAGGGCTCAGCCTGGAAGCACAGACACAGGGCTCCTGGACCCCAGGCTCAGGCCTGGTGGAAGTCTGGTGCCGCTGCTCTTGCTGAGCCCTGAGCAGGACACTCCCCACCGGACGCTGCTGTTTCCTCCTGCTGTCCTTTCCTTGAAACATGCCCCTGGGTGTGCCATTGTGTGGAGTGGAGCCCTTCAGGAAGTCCTCCCTGCCAGCAAGGGAGGGGGCCGGTCACCCACGCTGGCCTCCCCCGATGACGCTGTATCCCTCAGATCTAAGTGTTGGCCTCACCGCACCTAGCAAAGGAAGTGGTGGCTGCTGACTCAGCACCAGCCTGCAGGTGGAGAGGGGGTGGTGGAGCTCTCTGAGACTGGGAGGAAGTGAGAATTCAGCGGACACCTGTCTCAAGGAAGGGCAGGAAGCGTTGGAACAGCTGCTGTGCCCCCTCTGAAGCTGAGTGGGAGGGAAGGAGTAGAGGCGCTCTCCATGTCTTCCCTCCTCTGCCCCCACCCCAGCCAGCTTGCTTAGCTCCAGCCTTCTTCCCCCATGCCACCCCTCCTCAAAAGCTCAGGAGCCCCCTCCTGGCTGCCTGTGCCCGAGGACCACCCACCTCCTAGAATACCTGCTTCTACTCCTCAAATTCCCTGGAGCTAATGGGAGAATGTGCCCACTCCCGCCCCCAGCATGGAGACACCGGCCTTCCTTAAGCCGAAAGATGGCCCTTTCAAGGATGACCTCAGCATCCACGGTGGGCTTATTCTCTGGAGGGGGCAGGCATGGACTCAGGGAAATGGACTATCCCTGCCCCCTCTACCCATGACATTTGAAACTGCTGAGCAGATCTGAAAAGTCAGATTCTGGGGAAGGTGAGGGAGTGACAGTGGGGGACTTGGGCCCAAAGAACAGGTCCCCGCATGGCCCAGAGGTGTGCATGTCCCCAACTCAGTGCTGAGGAGGGAGACAGTGGAGGTGGCTGGACCAGAGCCTTGGCTTGGTTCTGTCAGCACCCTCCAGAGCGCCTCATCTTGGACACCAGGGTGATGGGCTGTGGCCTAGACCTCCCCTCTGTGGGCTCATGGGGTGGAAGGGGAAGTCAGACCTGTCTACCTCCCTAAGGGCTGGGTCTGGAGGGAAGCTGAGCTGGGGAGGCAGCTCCTGCCTCACTCCTGGCCAAGCTGGGGAGGGGTGCCTGGGTTGCAGGGGTACTGACTGCCACCTGCTATGGACCCAGAGGGACAGGGCAGCAAGGCACAACTGGAAGAAAGGTTGGGCCCGCTGGAACCAGAAGAGTTCAGCCCTCTCCCTGCCAGGAGGAAAGGGACCAAGGGAGGGGGTGAGGGAAGAGAGGTCATCTGAGGTGAGGGGGGCAGCAGCCAGCCCCCAGCTTGGTCTGGTTTCCCTCTTGGGAGAGGTGTGGTGGGAATGTGATTGAGGAGGTGGGAGAGGAGCCCAGATGCCAACCCTAGATGGCACAGTCCCATCCTGAAGGTCCCTGACAAGTCTCAGTTTCCCCCAGCAGAGAGATGGCAGGAAGTAGGAGGGAGACAGCAGGTTCCCACCTTCTCAGCTCGCTTCTCTCAGCCATCTCCTGGGTATTCCCTGCGTCAGGGCCATCCCCACACAGGTGCACTTGGAGAGGATCTGGCCAGGGAGCGGACTAGATGTGTGCGTGGCAGAGAGCACACATCTGAGAGCAAAACGGGGCTGGGCCTGCTGCAGGATGGACAGGGTTTCTAGTGTTACCTCTCAATTTGAGGAAAACGTGAGGTTTATATTAAATTAACCTGGCAACTCTTCTACCTCCAGTTGCAAATTTTACATAAACTTTTGAATGAAAATATAGAACTTTGATGACATTTCATTCAGACAGGGCAGTCCAGGCCATGCACCGACTCATGGGGCCACTGTACACTCCTCTGGCATTTCGGTCCCTTTTAGGGGTGAGTGACGGTAACGCTTCGGGGTCACCCCAAGGCCTCCTCTTCCCAGAGCTTGGGGACCCAAGCTGTTCAGTGGCTGGAGAGGCAAAGCTGGCTCTTGGAGCCACAGTCAGGATTAGAATTTGGGTTTCTTTTTTTAAGATGGAGTTTCGCTCTTGTTACCCAGGATGGAGTGCAATGGTGCGATCTCGGCTCACCACAACCTCCGCCTCCTGGGTTCAGGCAATTCTCCTGCCTCAGCCTCCTGAGTAGCTGGGATTACAGGCACGCGCCACCATGCCCAGATAATTTTTTGTATTTTTAGTAGAGACGGGATTTTACCATGTTGACCAGGCTAGTCTGGATCTCTTAACCTTGTGATCCGCCCGCCTCTGCCTCCCAAAGTGCTGGGATTATAGGCATGAGCCACTGAGAATTTGGGTTTCTTGATTCTGAGGGCTGATGGGCATTTTGGGTTTTGATTCAATGCCATTTGTAAGTGGCACAAGCTATGGCAGCTATGGGGTGCTTTGTGGGAGACATGGCTGGGTGAGGCTTGAGGACAGCTTGGGTTTAACTGGGCAGAGAGAGGAGGGATGGCATTTCAACATGGTGGCAGATCCTCATGTGTGCCAGGGATGGGAACCAGAGCCTGAGAGAGGAGATCAGGAGAAGGAGAGAACCCCACCAATGGGTGCGAAGGAGATCATCTGAGGGCTACAGGACACTTTTTATCGTGGTAAAACATACAACATATATTCTGCTGTTTCAATCATTCAGAAGTGTACTACGATTCAGTGGCATTTCATACGTTCATGGTACTGTGCGACCACCACCGCTTTCTATTTCCAAAAGTTTGAAATCGCCTGAAACAGAAACTAAGGGCTCCCTTGGCTTTGGGGCCTCCTCCCAGGCAGGTCAAGGGCTGTGTTTGCTGGGTCTTTTCGAGGAAAGGTTGGGGGTCGTGGGGATGGGAAACTAAGCTGTAGCAAAGAATGTACAGATTTTGCCATCCGGCGTTCTTTAGCTTGACCACCTACCAGCTGTGGGACTTTGGCCCTCTCTGAGCCTCAGTCTCTTCTAAAACAATGCAGATAATTGATGTAAATACAGGGTCACAGAGAGGTAAGAATGAAAGACAGTTCTGATGCATATGAGGTACAAGGCACCCCAAATCCTAGGAAGTATTTAGCAAGATGGCCATTTCCCACCTCCCACCCACACACCCCACTTCCTCCATGCAAACACATCGCTGCTTGTTCAGGCCTGGGACAGTCTTAAGGGAGTGCAAAGCAGGCCCTGGGCAGTCAGGAAAGGACTGGATATGCTTCAGCTTAATTGTGAAAGCAGTTACTGAGAACCCGCTTTAGCAAAGTCAGCCTCTGACCTGTAGCCTAGCTGCAGAGACCCCGAATACTCCTGATGTGGGTGGAGAATGACAGAGTGGGCAACAAGAATGGCCAAACAGTGGTCATGTTGGCCAGAAAGTGTGGCCTAGCAGGGAGGTATCTTAGCACACGGGATGGGGAGAGGTCACTGAGGCCTGGAGAAAATCAGGAGGGCCTCCCAGAGGAGGCAGGACTGGAGCCGTTCCCCGAGGAGGGAGAGCTGTAGCTCTGCTACCTTGGGGAGTGATCAGGTCAGCCCTGCCCCTGCCCCTCTCCCATGTAGGCCCAGATCTGATCCAAGAGGTGAATGTCGGAGTCCTGTGGCTGTCACCGTCGTCTGAATTTTCTTTTTCTTTTCTGGAGCATTGGGCCCTCTCATTTCATCGTCATCCCTCCCATTCCAGTCCCTGTCCTCCCTGCCATCCCCTGGCCCTGGCCATCCTGCTGTAATTCTCTGCCTCTTCTCCTGCCCCTCTGCCCAGCCAAGCTGCCTGAGTGCTCCAATGGGTCACCGTGCCACCCCTTGAAAGAAAGCCATATGGAGGGGTTGCTGCTCGAGGGAGCTGGGGCTTTGTGTCCTCCCTCTGAAGTGGGCAACCCTCTTGAGGCATTGGCTCTGCTTTTTGCAGAATGGGGTACTCATTCTTACCTGCCAGGTTGAGTGAGGATTAAATGAGAAGGTGGACGGCTCCCGGCACAGAGTAGGGGCTGCTCTTACTGCTCGATGTGGCTCTCTGCTGGGGAGTTGCCATGCACAGAGTCCCCTTGCCTGCTTCTAGGAGGCACACTGTATTTGGAAAGGGAAATAAAGAGCAGGGGGGAAACTGAGCCTCAGTGTTCTTACCTGTAAAATGGGAACAATCATAGAAAGTTCCCCAGCAGGGTGATAGTGAGGCTCAGAAGTGATCATGGATTTGTTCAGCTCATCTAACACATACACATTGAGCACCTGTGCTGGACCAGGCTCCGTGCAGACATGGGGGACACAAGGATAATAATAAGAACCATAAGAGCAGTAGCAGATGCTCATGTAGCACTTACTCTGTGCCAGGCACCCTCCTAAGCACTTTGCCTGCCCTAAAAATACTGAGCCTCGTGGGAAACAGACAGACGCAGGAACAGCATGGCCCTAAGGTATGTGCTGGGTGTTCTCTTAGCCTGTGGGGTACATCCTGGGGAGGGCAATGCCTGGGGGCTGATTCCTGGGGGGAGTCGTAAAGGATCTGGCTGCCCAGGAAGAGGTGGGGTGAGGGTGTTGTGGGCCAAGGGGCTGCAGGGGTGGGGAGAGGGGAAGGGCAGACTGAGAAGGAGTCATGCAGAGGAGTCACAGGGACAGAGAACTGGGGGGCTGATAGCCTGCAGGGAAGCTGGGGCTTTGTCAGCCTTGCTGGTCAACACGGCAGCTTTGCCTATTGGCTAGCATTGCTGGTGGCTGAATATCTTTTGTCAAGAATAAAGTGCACACAATCTATTCAGAGTCTCTGTATGTCCTGAGCTAAGGGCAGAGGGTACGACCTGGGCACTGCCCTTGAAGACCTAGAAAGTGAGGCAGGAGTTTCAACAAACTCTGGTGAAGCAGTCTTTGGACAGTTACCTCCACAGGAAGAGGGTTACCATGGGCTACTGTGCAGAGGGTGGGAGACGTCCTGGAAGACACAGGGGTGGGACTGACCCTTGAGTCAGTCTTGAGGGGCTTGGGGCAGCACTGTCCACACTGTCCAAGCAAGCCCTGGGGCCTCTTGAGCTGTTAAAAGTTGTTTCTGCAGAAAGGTTACATGTTCCAACATTTGGAAATACTACCCACTACTTGGAAAGTCCCAGTGCAGATTAGCACATGAAAGGCCCTGATAATCCTGCAACCAAGAGAGCCCTTTGGTTTTGCTTTAGTGGCATTTCCCAAAACTGACCACAGAACGTGCGTGCGTGTGTGTGCGTGCATGCGTGCGTGCATGCGTGTGTGTGTGTGTGTGTGATTTCTGGAAGCATACCTTGAACTTGGTTGCATGGAGCACAGTTTGGGAATGCTAGCCTGGGAACTGGGTCATCTAGCTCAAGACTGGCCAGAAGCAACTCCCTTCCACTACAGAGGTAGGGAGACTAAGACAAGGGCCATAAAAGGCAGCTCATGAATTGGCAACTGCCTAAATAACTTCCCACCACAGTCTTCCTCCCAGAGTGCCATCTTTACCTACTATCTTAGTACATTTGGACTGCTATAACAAAATATCAAAGACTGGGTGGCTTCAAATAACAGGAGTATGTTTTCCAGTGTACTGGAGGCTGGGAAGCCGAAGATCAAGGTGCCAGCAGGTTTGTTGTGGGTGAGGGTCACTTCCTAGATGGCTGGCTTTTTCTTGTAACCTTGCATGGCAGATGGTGAGTGGGACATCTCTGGGGCCTCTTTTATAATGGCACTGGTTCCATTCTTGAGCACTTCATCCTTAGAATCGAATCGCTTCTCAAAGGCCCCATCTTTTAACACCATCACCTTGGGGGTTAAGATTCAACATGTGAACTTTGAGAGGACACAAACATTCAAGCCATAGCACCTCCTCTAGAGAAGACTCTAGAAGGAGGACAGTGGTGAGCTGGCCTCTCATTACCAGTGGCATTTTTGCTGGCCAGCCAGGAAAGGCTGTCAGGGGTCACAGCTCTGGAGGGGACTCTTGGCTACTGGGGGTACTCACCTTGTGCCAAAGTCATATTCAGCGTAGGGCCTTCCTTCCTGCCTTCTATCTTACATTTATGACCTTGTCCAGATTCCTTGAAGTGGAGTTTCTCACCTGCCTAATTGGGCACCCCTTGCCTGGTACCCATGGCTACATTTGGCACACTGTACATGATCCACCCAGCACCTGATGCCCACATCATCATGCACCAAGATGGTCACCCTGACACATGCCCATCCCCCTATGGCCCCCATGCAATATGTATTTACACGTTCATACACAGTTCACGTAGTTATAACAGCAGCACACATTCATTTACTCATACATATCTGTATAGAGTATACAGTACATCTACATACCTGCATTCCACATGCCAACACATGAACAGACTCACTCCACTCACCACCCACATAAGTGTACATACATGCACACCCCATGATACATACCCACAGAAATACAAGCTTAAATTTTTCCAGAAGGGACTCCTTTCTCTTTCTTTGCTCTGACATGTCACCTGTGCCCCTACTCCACCATCACTGAATTCAAACAATATTTCAACAGGAGATGGAGGCCTTTAGCCAGGAAAACACCATGAGTGTGAGTGTGTCCGCATATGCAGGCCAGCCGCAGAGCCTGGGTCACAGCTGATTCGGTGTGGTCCCCACTATGATGAAAACAAGCATCACAAAGCTCTGTTTGGATGCTATGTGGCCTGGGAGGGCTTCCTGGAGGAGTTGAGCCTTCAGCTGGGATGGAAGAGTGAGCTCCATGTCAGTAGAGAGTGAGAGAAGGGAGCACTGAGGTATGGAGGCTGCATGAGGGGCGTCAAGAGGGGTGAGCATGGCTGGGAGTCCTCAACCTCAGGAACCCCAGCAGCAGTTAAGGGACAGTTTGAGCAGAGGTGGAGGAAGAAGCAGCAGGGCCAGGAAAAGGCCAGCAGCTCTCTCTGCTGGTGTTCCTCCTGCCACCCTTGGTGGTGGCACTGACACCTGATACCTGACCGAGGCCGTCAGTAGCTGGGAGACTCCTCAGCTAGTGCTCACATGTCACTGGGGAAATGAGAGACCACATGATATTAATGTTGCTGTCCCACTTTATAAAGTGTCCTAACAAGCTGGCGAGCCAGGCACACTCAGTCTTATTTATGGCCGCTATTATTTCTCTGACATCGAGATTAGTTTGACGATAGCTGTTTATAAGCTCTTTCATCATCAAATGGGCCCATTACCTGGGAGGAGAGAAGGCTGGGTTTAATTTGTGAACTGTGTGCTGAGTCCCTCTGCCCCTGGCGTGTATGCAGGAGTTACAGCCATAAATCATGGCAGATGCCAGTAGATCTGAGACCAGAGGGCCAGGAGCTCCCTGAGTGGGCAGAATCCAGAGCTCACGTGCGGCAGAGGGGCTCCCTGGCAGGTGTGCCAGCCTGCAGAGCCAGGGAGGGAGGCAGGGATGCACCATCTTCTCTGCTGGGAGGAGGCCCTGGGCCATCACACTGAAGTCGACCCTAAGTTAGAATCATCTGGAAGCTTGTTAAAATACAGATGACCTAGCCCTACAGAGTCACCACCTCTGTGAGTGGGACTTGGGACTTCACTGCAGTCTGGGGTTTCAGGGCTGTGGGCAGGGGTGGGCTGGGAGACAGGCTGGAGCTGTTCCCTCCAGGTGTCCCCAGCTCCAAGGAAAGGTGTCCCTTCCTTGGATATCTGAGCAGAAAAAGACAAGAAGAAGAGCTGGCAAATAATAGACCCGGAGCAAAAAGTTAAAGAGGTTGGGTTCTTGAGCCACGTGGTAAGGTTTGCCAAGGCAGTGTCCTCGAACCTGCGGAGCCACCCTGCCATTGTCCTCTCTCAGCCCCTTCCTGCTAAGCAGGACAGAAACGTCAGCTCATGAGGGGCACATCAGGGGCTTTATAGGCATCATCTCTTTGTCCTCTGATGTTATCTTTAAGTTCCTTTTTTTAAAATTGAGATGGAGTTTCGCCCTTGTTGCCCAGGCTGGAGTGCAATAGTGTGACCTTGGCTCACTGTAACCTCCACCTCCTGGGTTCAAGTGATTCTCCTGCCTCAGCCTCCTGAGTAGGGTTTCGCCATGTTGGTCGGGCTGGTCTCAAATTTCCGACCTCAGGTGATCTGCCTGTTTCAGCCTCCCAAAGTGCTGGGATTACAGGAGGGAGCCCCGCGCCCAGCCTGAGTTCCTTTTTTTATTAAACCCAATTGAGAGATAACTTAGGCAGTTCTCAGTTACATTCCCTGGAGACTGAGGCCTAGGTTTAAGTCCAGCTTGGACCCCAACCTCATGCTTTTTCCATGACCTAAGGCAGGGTCCCAATGTGGGGGCAGGGCCTGGCTATGTGAATCCACTGCACACAAACATTGCAGCCTCAGCAAACAGCACATCTTTGGTGTGTGCTGGGATGGGGTACCCAAGAAAGCGAGGTGATGAAGAGGTCCTCCTGCACTGTGTACCTCGGCAGTCTTTCTCCTAGGGGTGGTATATTTCCTTCAAGCCTCTGGAGTGGACAGTCTTCAGAATGCAATGGGGTCTTTCTGACCTGGTGGTCTGGAAGACCCTGTCACTCCCAGGATGGCAGCCCTGTCCTCTGCCTCCCAGGTCTTGGCCTTCCCTTCCCCACCATTGGCTCTCGACAGCCTTTGCAGGGCTCTGCTGGAGACATGAGGGAACCCTCCAGGCTCCCCTCCTCCTCAGGGGCCTTGGGTCCTATCCAGGAGGCTCACCTTGATAAACTCCACCTGGTCAAAGCCCATGAAATGGGAAGGCAGCCAGTATGGACGCCATCAGACTCTTTCCTCGCCTAGAGTCTACACTTTTGTTAATGTAGCCTCAGTTTGCATTGGCTATTTTGGGTACACATCATCATGTCCCAAGCTTAATTATGTGGACCAGAGTTCACAAATCTGATAACACCTGCTATGGAGACTCTCATGTCCCAGCCTAGTGGAGTAGGTTTATTAGGTCAGATATAAGTTTGGCTCTGGTAACAGAGATCCAAAATAAAGGTGGCTTAAAGGGATATCAACTCTCAGAACAGCCTAGAGTGGTGCTCAATGTCAGGGACTCAGGTGCCTCCTCTCTTGTTGAGCCACCTTCCCTAGGGTGTGGTGTGGCCCTTTTCTGCATGGTCCAGGATGGTTCATACCTTTCTCCACTTTCCAAGGGAGGAAGAAGGGGAAGGGCAGAAAGAGCATGACACAGCACTGCACAAGTCACCCCCACTCACACTCCATTGACTAAACTGAGTCACGTGACCACACTTAGCTACAAAGGAGTCTGGGAAGTCTTACATTCTGAAGGCCATGTGCCCGGCTAAATTCTTGGGTTGTATTACCATAGAAGGAGAGAACAGATAATGGGGGGCACCTGTGGAGCTGACCTGTCATCATCCTCTCTCAGCAGCCCAGCCCTTTCCTGCTAAGCAGGACAGAAACATCAACTTACGAGGGGCACATTGGGGGCTTTATAGGCATCATCTCTTTGTCCTCTGATGTTGATCTCAGTTGGTCAGCTCTGCCTCAGTTGGTGATTAGAACCCACATGTCAGGTCATACATTGATCCTGGTGAAGCTCCTCCTTTGTCTACCCTTCTTGCATTAGTGGCACCGTGGGTGGGACTAGCATGCCCTCCATGGCTTCACCCAAATAGGCAAAGAGATCCCCAAGGCAGAAAGTGAGAAGCCATCCTCCAAGTTGGTGTCCAACTGCCGGCCTGTGCTTATTGGATGTGATTACTCATCTCATTACAAATCCTCCTGTCTCGTGACTAGCTTGCATTTTCCATCTAATCCAAAGACTACACTAGAATGTTAGATCTAAAAATGAGATGATGTCTGTGAGTGTTCAGCCCAGGGTGTGGTGTACAGTAGACACTGAATGAAAGCTGCACATCCTTGGGCAAGGCATTTAACCTCTTGGTGCCTCACTTTTCTCATCTGAGAGATGAGGATGTCATCGTGACCTCCTCCGTGGATTGTTGGGGGGATTCAGCAAGAGTCCATGGGAAGCACCAGGTGCAATGTCTGGGCTGTGAGTCAGGCTGCTGGGTGAGAGCAAGGATCTACGACCTCCTGACAGGGTTGCTGTGGGAATGAAAAGAGATCTGTGTAGCTTTTAGCACAGGTGCGCGGCAGGTTGTAGGCACTCAATGAATGCTAGTTTGCTCCCGTCCACTACCCCACTGCCACTGGTAAGCAATGTTACCTAAAAACCCTTAATCCCACTCTATCACTCTACAATTGGAAGCATGTGGGAGGACTCTGAAAGTCAGAGAGTAGGAGTGACAGGGCCCCGGAGACGCACGCTGCTGGCAGGCGGGGGCCCAGGACTCTGGCTCTTCCCACAGCATTGTGGCCCACCTCCTATGCTGCTGTATTGGGTCCTTGCCCTGCAGAGGAAAAGGAAACGGTCCCTTTAGAAGAGATAACCAGATACAGACAGCCCATGGTGAGGACCCAGAGACCTGGGTTGGGAGATGGAATAGCAGGGGCTTGTGGTGGGGTGGCCTGGCTGGGTCCCAGGTAACTCTGCCTCCTGTTCACCAAGACCCAGCTCTCAGGGTTTTATTGAAAGCCTGGAAGGGACTCCAAAGATATTTGGCCCACCCCCTCATTTTGCAGGGGAGGAAAAGACTCAGCAAGATCACTCAGCTGGGGAGAAGACAAGCTCCCCACATCTCAGTCACCACTCTCACTTTCAATCAGGAAGGCAGAGCCATGAAGTGCCCCAGGCTCCCACTCCTCTCCTCTGCCTTTTGCCCACATTTATGAATTGTTTCATTTCTTTCTACACTGTAGTCACTGTGTCCAGTGAAGGCCCAGAGAAGGACATGTATGTTAGCAGAGATGCCAGCGTTAGAGGCAGGGGACACCTCTTAAAGGAGGTAGCTGTGATGCAGGGGAGCTTTGCTGGGCCAGGGATTGGGGGTCTAGGCTTAGATGCCAGCTCTATGAGTGTGGGCAAAGTTGGACACATCTCCCAGCATTGAGGTGATGAACTGATCCAGGTTTGTACACTGCCAGGGCCATGCACACATTCAGACTGAAATGATGAGGGGTCCTTGTGCACAAAGTACAGGAGAGGAGGACACACGATCAGGGCCCATAGGTACCCAAATCCAACAGTGACACCAAGATGGAGTTCTCATTTCCCTTAGAGGCTGAACTCAAGAAACATTTATTTATTTATTGAGGCGGAGTCTCACTCTGCCACCAGGCTGGAGTGCAATGGTGCAATCATGGCTCACTGCAACCTCTGCCTCCTGGGTTCAAGCAATTCTCCTGCCTCAGTCTCCCGAGTAGCTGGAACTACAAGTGCGTGCCACCACGTCCAGCTAATTTTTGTATTTTTAGTAGAGACGGGGTTTCACCATGTTAGCCAGGATGGTCTTGATCTCTTGACCTCGTGATCCTCCCACCTTGGCCTCCCAAAGTGCTGGGATTATAGGCATGAGCCACCACATCTGGCCAAGAAACCTTTACAAGAGAGTTGAGAGTTGGTTAGAATATCTCCAAGGTCTCTGTCCAATCCTCTCTAGGGTTTTAAAGACTGTACCATCCCTGCCAGTGACAGCATCAGTGCCATTCTAAGATATATGAACTTTCACATTTTACATCTTGGAAGCTGGGATGCGCCTTATAAATGACAGTTTGTTTTAGTTTAATTGCCCTTTAAAAATCTTTTAGTGGTTCATAAAGTGATGGTCCACTGTGCAACAGATAGCCTCTTAGGGCTGCTGACATTTGGCATTCATTTTATATGTGCTCCATACACAAAGCTTTGGGGTCTACG